AGTATGTGACAGAAAATAATAGTTAATTCTAATGTCTAACACGTAATGTGGAGAAAGAGATGTCCTGTCTGGGTTGATTGTGCGTTGACCTGTTGGTAATGCCTCGGGGTTCCGGTGGGCATGTAAACAAATGCATAATGCTGCGCTATACTTTGTGGCCTCACCCGGTTGCATAGCGACACTTATTGTTTAGGTGTCTTTTAATACGCAGGTAGTCATTTCATTAGCTAGAACTAGCTGGATCTGATCGATATGGACATAAACGCGAGTGAAGTCTAATCTGACGGGAGAGAGAGATCAGCTGCTGCTGACGAGTCGACACGCAGCTCTGCATGATCACATGCAGCGGTGAGCGGAACAAAACACACACTTCAGGTTAGAATATCACTCTTAGCTATTTTAATTACCTCTCAAACTACCTAAACTAGTTATAGATATGTTTAGTTTTACTGTCGGGTCACTCATTACTGGATCCGCGAGCTGCATGATACTGGCATAATAGATTGCCCGGTCGGGCAACCAGCAGGTGAGGCTTCATTGCCCGAGCTAAATACTAGATGGCCCCGGGCCATCGGGCAGTCCTTAATGTCGAGCCCACATGAACGTATCAAATGGAAACGTGACACCTTCAGTGCACACTCATTGTGAATGGACTCAGTAAAGTCAGAGATATCTTTTGTCTTTTAAAATAAAACGTTTTTGTAAATTCACGAAAAAATACCAGACACAAATTACTACTTGAATTTGAATATTTTAAATATCTTATAGCCTGTCTGGAGAGAATAATTAAAGTTGAGATAATTACCGGATTGATATCAATTGCAGTCTGGTGCTGCTCCTTCTTAGGCCTCATGCCGAACACATCCTGAACATATTTCTCATCGGCCTGGTAGAAGTGAGGTGTCGACATTACGATGGGAGCTCCTGAACACACAAAACATTCAGTTAGTAACATTATAGAAACCACTCAGCTGAGAAGGTTCTTTAGAAAGCTTTTTCGTCAGTCAGCTTTCTAAAGAACCTTTTCCCATGTGAGACGATAAAGTGTTATTCTGGCTTTTCCTTAATGCACTTCCTACCTTGTTTACATGGGCTGACATTCAGAACGCCAGAGCCCAGGCAGTTTCCAGCGGGGACACAGAAGCCGGCGTTGGCAGGGTTCACGGTTTGATTGGCAAACACCTCGCTAGGGGGACTGAAGCGATACCCAGGGATCCCCTTCACCGTCACATCCTCCTCATACAGAGCGTACAGAGACCTTGGAAACAGATGCTGGTTAATCTATGCAGACACAAAGCAATTATGTTAAGCTGGAAGTGAAACAAAGGGGGGTACACACATGTGGTACATTGGCGTGTGGTGGTTTGTGATTTAGTGAAAACATGCACAGCACAAACAAGAACCAAAAGTGTTTAAAGGAACATGTGGATGCCTCACAGGCCTGCTGTCAGTTACTTATATCACTTCTGATGTATGAAGAGCTGATTTAAATGTTTTAATCTTCACTAAATATGTAGTAAGCGTACAGTGACCTTATTTTTAGCCAACCATTCAACCAGTCAGGCTAAAGGAATAATCCTAATCACACATCCAGACACAAATAATGCAGAGGGAAAGGATTAGGAATGGATTTTTTTAGGAAGACTGAGGGGGAAGTGATTTCACTAACCAGCTAGGGTCAAGCAGATAAGACCAGGAAATGTGACTAAGCAGTAGAGGAAGCAGAAAACAATACCTAATTGAAAGCAGCATTATCTAAAGCTCTGCTGCTTCAGTCGTTTGCTTCTTACAAACCAATATTTATGTAATAATTTATATTTGTTACTTGTTCATTATTTACAGATTATTATTTGTGCATGTTCTGTAAATATGTAAGTCCTTAAAACAAACTAAATAATGCTTTTAAATGACTTGAAGAGTAAGCTAATAAAAAAAGAGAGAAAAAAAGACTAAAAAAAGACTAAAATAAGACGTGGGCTCATGCGAAGGCTCATCTGACTGTATGTAAGAACATCTTCTAGAATATTATCTAGGCATTGAAACATCAATTTATTATAATTTGACATGCCCAATACACACATAGACACATTTTAGCCTACTAGCAGCATGGTCTCTTTAGAGGTCAGTCAAACACTCTGCGGTCCACTCACCTGCACAGGTCAGAGGAGAACATGTAGAGCGTCTCATTCTTGGTGATGACGGGATGGAAAGATCCTCCATTGGTTCCATTGATCATATTGCACTCATCAGATGTCCACCAATCCAGTTTGCTGCACACACAGAAAAACACAATTACAATAAGATCATTAAAGTTTTCTTTATCAGTTTTTCATTTATGAATTTCAAATCCTGTAAGGTTTAAGGCATTTAGAATACCCAGCACCAACCCCTTTAATATCTGTTCCTTTGTCAGTTTGATTAAAGATCAACAAAGCAATTTGTTAGGCAAAATGATGTTAAATGCTGTCAATGGTGTGGGCTTGAAAATAATCAGGACACAATATGTTGAAGGTCAGAAAAGATTGGGTAATGTTGCTGCTCCTTACTGTTAGGGAAATCATTTGCTTAGGTATTCAACCTTCGACACAGTTCATAATTTTCTCTTCTCACTGTCTCCTGTCCCATGGCATAGGTCAGGGGTCTGCAACCTTTTTGACCAAAAGAGCCATTTTGCTCCTTTTTCCAAAACATTTTTTTGTCTGGAGCCGCAAAACATATTTCATAGCTTGATAGCTAATAAAGTTGTATTTATTGTTATATGAGACAAAAACTACAGTTTTTTTGCATGTATTAGGCTATTTATTACATTATATAAAACTGTTAACCTCTAATAAGAAACAAATAACTCCTATAAGGAGAATTACAAATAATACACAGGCCTACTTTAAAATAAATTAAACACAGCACTTGGGGAGTCCTCTGCACATTTGAAGGAAAAAAAAATATTATTAAAATGGGCCCACTTTGAAATAAATAAAACATATAGCTGCACCCTAAAAAGAGTTAAAGGTAGGGTAGGTAAGAATGGAGAAACCAGCTCGAGTGCGCTAGAATTTGAAAATACACAACCGGAAAAAATATGCCACTTCCTTCAGACTTTCAGAG